GATTGCATAGAGTTTTTTCTGAGAAATTTCCCGTGAAAATTTATTCACAGGATGACTTGTGTTCTAGGCAGTGAACTTTTGAATGATGACTATTTTCCCCACTGTTAACAATGTGAGCTTATCATGAATGTGTTTAATTAATACTGAGTTATTCAAATAAAGGTTCTGGTGTCTACATTGCATATTTTGTTGTACCATCATAAATGGTACATTTTGTGGAGCAGACTGCCTAATTTGATGTCATAAAATTACACACAAAATTAGAGCTCAGGTTGCACCAGCAAGCACCATTTTCAGCATGCTGTTCTTGTTTTCGGCGGACGACAGAGGGGACACCTTCCTCTCCTTCTCTCTTCCCCGTTGTGCTCGGTCGCGGGAAAATGCTCCACAGTTTCCAGACAAAGTGGATGTGGTCAATTGAGTTGCCAATAACTTGCGTGTCGGACTATACCATTTAGGTGTGGGGGAGGTGGCTGCGGGATAGTTAGCATGATGTGGTTGATTGACAGGTCAACTAGTTAGCATGATGTGGTTGAGTGACAGGCCAATTAGTAACATGCTGTCTTTGTTTTATTTTACAGGCTGCTTTTAGGTTTAAAAATAAAGATCAGAGATAGGCTGCTTCTAGGTTTAAAAATAAAGATCAGAGATAGGCTGCTTCTAGGTTTAAAAATAAAGATCAGAGATAGGCTGCTTCTAGGTTTAAAAATAAAGATCAGAGATAGGCTGCTTCTAGGTTTAAAAATAAAGATCAGAGATAGGCTGCTTTTAGGTTTAAAAATAAAGATCAGAGATAGGCTGCTTTTAGGTTTAAAAATAAAGATCAGAGATAGGCTGCTTTTAGGTTTAAAAATAAAGATCAGAGATAGGCTGCTTTTAGGTTTAAAAATAAAGATCAGAGATAGGCTGCTTTTAGGTTTAAAAATAAAGATCAGAGATAGGAAATAATAACTGAAGCCTAAGGAAAGCAGTAGTGGTACACAAACACATATTTAACTATTTAACTTACACAATTTAATTCAGAGGGAAACCGAAGCCCAAGGAAAGCAGTTGTGGTACACAAACACGCATCTGAAAAAAGTCGAATTCCCAGGGCGACAGTAGTGGACGCAGACTTACAAAAAGCCCGCCATTTTATGTTAATTACCAACGACAAAAGATCACGAGACGCGGTCAGTGAAACCTATGAAAAGCAGTAGTGGTACACAAACACACATCTAACTTACACAATGTAGAGGGAAACAATTCGTTGGTGTTATTATCTCACCATAAGAGAAAAAAAGTCGAATATCTAGGACGACAGTGGTGGTCGCAGACTTACAAAAAGCACGCCATTTTATGTTAATTACCAACGACAAAGGATCACTTGGCGGGTCACAGGACGCGGTCACTGACCTCTACCGGATGTCATCAATACGCAACACACAACATAAGAAATGGAAATATAAATAAACTCAATGCATATGCATGTATAAAAACCAAGATGTAAGATGAATCAAAAACACTTTTCTAGTATCTTTGGGTAAATGTACGATTCCTCGATTGTGGCTCACCAAACGTAGTCAGAGATGAATGAGCCCGTCATTTTAACGCCATAAGTAGTGTGAAATTAAGTGCGAAGCAGCGCTGGGCGGCAGCGTCTGA